GAGCCCTAACTGGACATTTGCACCCAGCTCATCCTCTGGAGGCCTGCTCAGGTGATGGAGCTTGGGGCTGCAGGTGTCCTTTCAGTGTTAACAGGAGGAAGGGGAAAGCAGGACTTCACCTGTGCAGAAGCAATGTGGGGGTGATCGGGACAGTTTGCTCCTTACCACTAGAATAAGATGCATTAATTCCATTGCTGGAAAGGCTGTGTGCACCAAGGAAGGTGATAGGCCAATGTGTTATTCCAAAATGACCAGTATATCACAAAATCAGGCAACTGACTCTCATATGAGCTTTTTTGACTCAGTTATGCACATATGCACAGTGTTATTTTCTTTCAGAACGATTAAAAGATAATAAATACATGACATATAACATAAGCCAGATTCTAGCCATGTTTGCTGTTAGCTGTCATGAATTTCTTGGCTCACTGCTGAGAAGATCTGTGAATTTGAGGCTGTGAGTGTGAAGAAGCATGGTGTTGAGCCATTCCTCATACTCAGCTAATTATTAATCACACCAGAAAAAACCACTGGTGGTTGCAGTGACCAGGCTGCTTCCCTCTATAAGTGTTCAGAGATTCTCAGTCATTTCATGCTGACATTTAATGCCACAAAAATTGGGGGAAGGGGTGGAAATGCTCCCTTTATTTTCTGAAAATATCGGCTGAGCAATTATCAGATATGAAAATCCCTATTAATATTTCAACATCAGTTTTTGCAGTTCTTCACTGCGTCTCCTTCAGTACTTCAGCAGTCATTCAACTCCAGATGCTGCGTCACTTTTGGCTTTCAGAATCTGAAACCTAACCATGAAGATAAACCCAGACTCCCTCTTACACATGTAAACAGCCACAAAAGTTAGGATTTCTAGGATGCCATCCATCCCATAAAAGCTCTTGTTTTTCATATTACTGGTTTAGACAGCCTTTTCTTCATGCTTTCCGCTAATGTTGGCATCTAACCGCTGTACAAGTCAGTGGATGCAAAGTGTTCACTGATGAGCCACCTTCTACTCTGGAATGAAAGTCACCCTCATAAGCAACGAAGCTCACCTGAGAAATCTCAAATCTCTCTCACCAATTTGATACCTGCAGTCTCTGAAAAATAAAGTTATGAGCAGATTATGACCAATGATGACAAGTATTAAGTTTGATTATACCAACAGACATGAAGTGGTAAAAAGGCTTTTAAAAGGCCTGGCAAGCATTCAGGAACTTAGCTGTGAGACAGCATAAAAACCACTACCACATTCTGCCACTCTAAAAACCCAGAAGGCTCTGAGAAACCAGCTCACGGCTGTTGCAATATTATGTTTTCTCTGAACCATTTCTTTCCACTTTAAAGACATTTTCACTGCAGGAGCAGCTGAGATGGATACACATGTTCCTGACCCACAAGGCATAAGGAGTGACACAGTTACGGCAATGCAAAAAAAAAAAAAAAAGGAGGCACTTACATGCTGATCTGTCTAATCCCTTCTCCAAAATCATTGTTCTTATTAGCTGATGCATGCAAACAAATAAAAACTTCTGTCATTTGCTTTGTAAATGGGAAGACACTCAATTTGCTCCACCTGGAGGACAGATGCAATGCAGCCTTTCAGTCGTTATGATATTGGCATTCATAAGCAGCTGATTCCAATTAGCAGTCTTAGATAAACAGAATAATGGATATGAGTACAAGTGACACTCTTCCTTTTGTCTGTTCACACAGAAAGCCAGACTTGCTCGAATTCGTGCAGCAAAGAGTGGGAGTGCTAATGCCTACATGCAGAGCAAACGAAATGGCTTACTGAGTAACCAGCTGCAGCAGGTAATGTTTTTGTGTCCTCCACCTCCAGCGTAACAGCTTAATGACAGCCCAGCAGTAGCTTATTCTATTTATCACCAGAGCAAGTCAATGTGGGTCTTTAGGCAATGTTATATTTAGAGGTAGATTAAGGAAGGATAGATTGGACAATTACTATTGTTAAAGGAAGCTTATGAGAGTTGATGATGTGGTATTAAAAGATGAGGGAAATGACCAGATAGAAATGCTGGATTCAAATATAATCCACGTTTTTAGAGTTAGATCCTGTAGAAGATCTCATTAAGAAAATATAGAGTATTTGCCTGTTAGGAGGTAGGTTGGATTTATCTTATTTGGCTTTAGACAGGTAGATGTGTGACAAAACCAGGCTTCATTGCCAGTGAGGGAAACAGGTAGCTCCAGGGTACTGTTTGCACAGAGGGGTGTCGCAGGAAGCGTTCCCTGGAAGCGCCTACTTTGCTCTAAAGAGAATCTTGGTAATTACCTCAAATGCATTGAAATGTAGTGTTACCTTGCCCCTGCCGAGGAAAACAGGACCAGCAGAAGGAGACCCAGGCAGCGGCTGGGACCGGGATCCACAGCGACTCATGCTGCCAGAGACAGCCCCTTGGCTGCTCAGAGCTGCAGCCAGCTGAGAGAGACTGAAGACACAGTGTTTTTTAAAGCCTGCCATTTTCTGGCATTTAAGCAATTCCCTGCGGGATACAGGAAGGCTTTTATTCCTCTATGCCCTTTCTGTTCAATACATGTTAAACAGCCGAACGCTTTAACCTATAGCCAGAAGAGGAGGAAGAGGCTGTTTGTCCATCCGGTCCAGCACAAAAGATGAGCAGTCAGAGCCCTCGCTTCCTCTCCTGCTTGAAAGAACTCAAATCTTTGAACTAAAAAGACACGAAATTGCTTAATTGCCATGCAGATTTCAAATATCCCAAAGTTGAATTGTAATCTTTCCTATTATCCCACTTCCTCCCCTATTTAGTTTTCTGCTTTCTAGTGAATAATATGAAAGCAATTAATAAACAGTGGATGCTTTCTACTTAATTCTTCATTCTGTGTCAGTAACATCTGCTACATGCTTTCCAAACTCAGCAGATTGGGATCACTGACATAAATTTTTGTGGAAGCAGTAATACCACAAATTCTTTAGTGCTATGAAATGATCCCAGGAGGACAACTATGTTTAATTTCCTTCAAATGAAGCATATTCCCAGGAAAAAAAGAAAAAATTTACTGTCACTTAAATTTATGATAATTTTAAGTATGCATTGATTCAACACTCAAAGCTTACATGTTGAATGCGCTTGTAAATTACGCATACATGGAATAGTACAAAAGACCTTAGAAGGAAACATTTAAAAGGAGGTGCAAGGGAAGGGAAGAAAATATTTTGATTAGAGAACAAACAGAAGAGAACTCAAGTCCAAACTGTTTTGGGTTATACAGTGTAGATAAAGTATTGCAGTTATGCTACCGTGTACAATCCAGATTAGTTCTGATCAAATATTTGGATAAGAGCCCTCTTGTTCACAAATGAGAATAATACAGAGTTCTATGTATCAACAGTCCTCCAGTGAAGAAGAACAGGCCTTTGTTAGCAAATCTGGCTCTTCCTTTGAAACGCAGCACCACCACCTGCTTCACTGCCTGGAAAAAACTACGGTAAGAAAAGAGAACTGTGTTTTCCTGTGAATTCCAACACCAGCCTAGTTTTGAATGTTTTCAGTATTTCTTCTAATTAATAAGCCTTTATATGAAAGCAGTTAACTGGGAAGAAAAGCCATTTTATCTTATTTTAAGGTGTTATACCCACTGCATGTAAATAACAGAGAGATCCTGAATGAGGGCCTCATCTAGGGTGAAAGATACTGGCATCAGTGAGACAACATCAGTACAGCCAAGCTGTATATGTGACCTTCAGTATAGTTTTCCTACACTCCTAAAGTTATCATTTGCACTTTTCTGCAGTACAGTTCATAAAACACAATTAGTAATCCTTACACATTCAATACTCAGTGCAGTCAAAGTAAGCTTTTGCCTGAGCAAACGTCGGGCTTTTGTACAGGGAGAGCTGCTGCGTGTTTCCTCGAATGTGAATGCGATTCTCACTGAAGTGACTGCAAAAGAGGATCCCCAAACATCCTATTTTGAAACCTCAAGTGCCTAATCCAGATGCAGGTGCAAAGCTTTGAAGTCTTTTGGCTTCAGTTTAGACACTGAGATCCCTGTAGAAATCACTGATGTAATTCATAACAGCCCAAATATGCTCATCTAGATTTGAAACTCCCTATAAATCAAAAGGCCTTACTATGTGCTCTCTCTGTTTTTCCCTGGTCAATACCCAAATAATTATACAGCCATAAAGGATAGTCAACTACAGCAGAGTTATGATCCAATGATAACTAAATGCAATGTTTACTAATAGTATATTTCTGGACAGATAACATCACAGCAATAACCCTAATCATCCCTAAATTTACATTGTTTCCTCTTTTATAACTTCCTAAGGAAACTAAGAACATAAATATTAATTATATTGAATTCAATCTTTGTAGATTTGGGAATTTCACATAGGGCATGCTAAAACTATCTCCTTGTATTTTTATATTTTTCCAAGGGTTTTATTTCATGTAGAATTTAATTATATTGTAGGTAAGTTGGTCAACATTCATTAAACTACCATTTACCAATTTACATCTAGTTTTAGAAGTTCCAGATGCATGTAAAAAAAAAATTATTTCTCTTTAATTTTTGTACATATGGAGGAACTTTATGGTATTTTGTCTTATCTTTATAGTCTAGTTTTAGATTTTCATTAAAAGACCCAGTAATGCTTCTGCTATATCTTTGATGGAGATTAACATGAAAGTCTTTTTGCTCTTTCTCAAAAAAAAAAAAAAAAAAGATTAAAAAGCTTTCCCACAACAGACATTGCTAAATTAAAATATGATGTATAAATACGTACAATTTAATATTCTTTCTACAGTGTTTGTCAATAAAAGGGCAGAGTTGCTACATCAGTTAGTAACATGTCATCCGACAGGTGCTTACGGCTTCTCCAATCTTACTTTTGGAGTATTCATTTTTATATAATGAGCTGTAAGACAAAATGTCTTGCTTCCTATTCAAGGTATAATGTGGTTTCTTTGCCAAGATTCAGGCTGGGTCCTTTTGGAACGTTTTTGAGACATTTTGTACTAGAACCTGGTAATAGCGATCTGCCTTAAAAATCGTTCCACAGTTGAACGTTACAAACAGATTTTAAAACCCCAGTAGTAGCCACAGGTCTTGTCAAATTATCATAGAAAAAATGGGAAAAAAATTCTGTTCATTTAGTGGGAGTTGAATTTGTTTCACATTTCTTCTAATCATAATATATAAGCCTTTCCTTTTTTTCTTTACTGAAACACAGCTTTTTTTAAAAAAAAAAAAAAATGTAAAGCAGGTATCATCTTGTTTCCTAAATTTCCGTAGAATCCACTTTCTTTTCTCCTTGTTTGTTGTGTCCTGCTACTGGCACTTCGCTCACGTAACACATGGACACACAAACGTATGTAGGGGTTCCAAGTCGTATTCTGCAGAGCGTGCGTTTGTAAAATTTTAGTGGGAGCACAAAATTTTGGGCCCTCAGCTTGTAGAATCTGGCAACAGGCTGGTTCATGGTATAACAGCAAGGGTGAGGTGCCTTCTTAGCCTCTCATAATCCTTTGAAATATCATAAGCATCAGTCCAGATGATACTAAGCAAAGGCAGATTTTCTCTTTTCCAGCACTTTAAAGTCAATAGGGTAAGATCTTTCGCACTCTAAGAAATGCAGAGTGAGTGATGTTACGGAATTCTGTGAAAATTACATTAATAATAAAAATAATTGCACTGGGAGTTATATTTTACAGGCTACTTTTAGCTAATTTAAGAACAGTTAATTAATAAGTATAATCAAATCTATTAACTTGAGCCATTATATCGTTTCAAAATGTTTCCAGTCTATATCAAAAGTTCACTCAATAACCCACCTTAATGGACCCTACAAATTGAATTCATGTTGGTTGCTCCATAAAAGTTTTAGGAAGCACAAAATTACTTTTAATCGGAAAACCAGCAGAGTTCTTGGCAAACATACTGCAAGCCACTGAATGTACTCTAACGATGGCGATTAGGCCATTTTTCTCTCTGAATTTTACGTGAACTGTGCAATCACATTCAAAATCTTGATTGTGAATGACGTATGTCTTATAGAAGTCAATTTTATAGAAGTCAAGCTCTTTCTTTCCATATCACTTGAAACTGGCATTCTTCAACACCACTCAATTCCACACAAACTTGCATCTGAGTGAACAATGAAAGAAATGGAAATAACAATTATATGCCTATAAAGGTATTTCCATTTGTCACAAACACTTGGCCACAGTTGTTACTCTATTTACTTTGTTCACATATTTTATATTAGTACTGTACTGTAACTCTCCTAAAAAACACCCACACCTTTCCAATTAGTCTATCATTCTTTAGGGGGAAAAATTTTTTTTCTCATTCTAGTACACAAAAGTGCAGCAGGCTAACAATTTTGGAGTGAGTGAGACTGCGCAGAGTGTACAACAATCCAGAACATGCTCCCTAAACCATTCTCAGGATACGCAGACTGATTCCAGCAGTAACCAGAAAGATTTTTTTAAAAAAGGAGGCTTTCTCAAACTGCACACAGACATGTCTTAATCTCCGCTTAGTTTGGGCTGCTACTTTAAAATGACTGTAAAAATTCACACACACACACACCCACTATAAACAACACTACTATTTCACAGTCTTTTGCACACAAAGAAAATGCGGAAAGCACGGCTGTGTGTGAAACACTCCCTAATCACCTACTGAGTCAAAGTACGCTGGCCATTTATGTGAATTTGGATTCGGCTCTGTGACAACCCTACAAAACTACTGTCTGTGCTGGGATTAAGCAAAGACTGCATGAATAGAGAGGACTTCGTTTAAGAAATGCTCAGTCTTCTAAACAAATTAGGAAATTTTTAGATGCTTTTAAATATCCATTTCATATCTTCTAATCGAAACTTCCATTTGATTTAATCTTCTTTTTTGTATAGATGCGTACCTCAAAACACAGTGTTTCAGATCCTGATTTCTAACATATAATTCAAAAAAGGAAGATTTATAAACTCATCTGGAAAATACATATGAATTTTATTGTACTACAGTTCAATACAATAAATCTTATTTATTTCTGAATGACATTTAGAGCATTTACATAAGCACCACTTGCATTTTTATTAATAAAGATAATCCTCTATTTTGTGGCACTTCATAGATTATACAGATATGTATAATGCAAACTACATTACAATCACATGCTATTTTACAAAATAATTTGGATTAACATTTTCTTATTTAGAGCTCTGAGTGTTTTGTTCCAGCGTTTACATTTGTATTGGTATTCAGCCCAGGCTAATATGGGCTAAACACTATAATCAAGAATAAGCTGTCCAATTTTCCCACTTTATTCAGTTGTGTCAATTTTAGCCTTTAAACTATCATGATTAATATGTTCACTTTAATTGTCTTCTGTGTGTTCTTTGTCCCTTTGTTGGATTCCTCTGGGCTAGAATCACGAGTTTGTGGATGAGCAAGTCTATGAAGAGAGCTGTATGGAGGTTTCCACAGTCAATAGACCCCCCAGCCACAGCCCCTCTCTCTCGTCCCAACAAGGTGTTACCAGCACTTGCTGCTCACGAAGACATAAAAAGACTTACCGCATCCCAAACACCACCCTCACTGGCAGCCGTCCAGGCAGCGTACAAGAGCTCAGCACCATCCAGATCAGATGTGTGGAGAGGACGCCTCTGTCTAACAGGTACTTCACACGCGCCAGCACAAGAGCCAAAGCCATTTCTTCGTTAGAGATGTAGAGTGTTGTGGCCTCTGCAGGTAGGCTGTGAGGCTAAAGATGAAAGTCAAGTAGTCATCCAAAAATGGACACTAGTACTGAAACATCCTGCAACTAGTTTCCTCCAAGCTTAATCCAAGAGAACAGAAGAGTCTCTCTACATCCATTTCTGCCCTCTCATGCCCTCCCCACAAAATCCTGTGTACTATTTGCAGCGAATAGCATCCAGGGACCCCAAACTAAATACAGCACCAAATATTATATGCTGTGGAGAAACACATAACAAGAAAAATTTAGCATAGAAAAAGGTGCAATTCAGATATACGGGATGAGCAAGTGGGAAGAGAAAGAAAGGTCTGTCCCTGCTGTTTCTACTGGTTTGGTTCAGAAGCATAGGACAAGTGAGACTTCGTTGCCTTTCCACAGAGCAGAGAAATAAAACTGATTCCCAGAGTCCTAAGTGAAATAGTCATGAGACTTTTTTTAAATAAAAACCATGAAATGGATAAGAAAAATGTATGTCCTAGTTTGAGAAGTTATTACAGAAGTGAGGAAAGTACAAGAGCCTGTCATTTACTGAACATCTCTGTACTCTCACAAGTAAACCATTTGGCTTTCAGGTATATCGAAACACCACCTCTGAAAACACAGCAGAAGTCTCAGGAGACTCAGAAGTGTTTTCTATTGAACTCAAACATGCCGCCATTTAAAAAAGAAGCATTTTCAGCACTGGTTGCTATAGAGACTTTCTTGCTAAGTTACTTTGTGTAGCTTGCTCTGTACAGTTACTAGGTTTGGATTTCCCTTCCATGAACAATCCAGCAGCTGGTAGCTACTGAAGTTTTTCAGCTGTTGTGCAATGAGACCTCCTGGCCAGCACAAAGCTCCAATCTGTCTTAGCTTTTCAGGAACTGTTCTGCTTGGATCCATCCTTTCTCTGCTGGAGGACTTGCAGTCACAGAGTACGTAAAAACACAAAGCACCAGCTTTGTGCTAAAACCACAAGCACAAAATGCCAGTCTCACCTCAAAATGGTCTGAGTGTTACAGGTTTCTTATGATGAGGTATTGCAGCAACTCCATGAACATGTTAACCTTTATTAGTGCATATATCACTGTCTTACTCTTGAGGATACATAATATAATGTTCTTAAATAAGCATGGCATGGAGGAATCTATAGGAGACTGGGACTACCCCTTAGTTTCCATTTTCCTGCATAGCAAGTTATCTAGCTATGTGAAGTTTGGCCCCCATGGAGCAAGTCAAATGCTTCCCCTGCTCAGAAACACGTAGGTGATGAGCCCAGAAACTTTTAGAAGTGCTGAAATGACGGGAAGGAAGGGAGTAAGGGGGGGCTGTCCGTAGACATAGCCATGCACACCTGCTTCCAGGATGCAGGGTGGTGGAGTGGTGGTGCTTTGCACATCAGAGCTCTCTAACAGAGCAGGATGGAGACGGCCAGCTGCCGGTGTGGAATCAGGCACATAAGAGGTTTACAGTAACGTGGACTTTCTTTCTTCATGGATTTCTGTTTCTTCTTCCAGCCGTTCCAGCTTAAATGCCAAAGTGGAAGAGTGCGTTAAACTAAACTGTGAGCAGCCTTACGTCACTACAGCAATAATTAGCATCCCGACACCTCCAGTCACCACACCTGAAGGAGATGATAGGCCAGAGTCTCCCGAGTATTCGGGAGGAAACATTGTCAGAGTATCTGCTTTATAAAATAAGGAATTATTTATAAATTAGCATAAAGACCACTTGCAAGCTGAGCTCAAGCAGTGAGAAACAAGTTGCGAGGAATGAGAGAGCTGACAAAGACAACGCCCCTTGACGTGTGCGCCAGCGGCCGCAGAGCAAGAGGTTGAGGAGAAACAAAACTTTGTGGGTTTTGGTGTCGTAGCGTGTGAACCAAAAGGAGTTTCCTACCCCTTGTCTGAACTGACGCGCAGTGGAATCTTCTGTGACCATCCTGACTTACTATATGAGCACAATGAAATGTCCCCATTGATGCTTCTTCTTATCATGAGAGCTCTTTTTAGAAAAAAAAAAAAAAAACCATTTTCCTCAATTTTGAGGAAACCTGAATGCAAAACAACGAGAAACATTTTGATAACGTGTCTTTTTTTTTTTTCCTCTTAATAAACCACAAACTTGTTGAGGAACTATCAAACAATGAAAGAAAAAATGCTCATATGAAATATGTTTGTACTGACTGAAAGAACAACCATAATGCATGCTGAAATTATTTGGAGCTGTGATCTCAGTTTACTTTTGTTGTTTTTCAGATTAGGCATGATAAAATATTATTGTAGAAAGGGGCATTTCCGTGCACTTACAACAAGCTGATTGTTAATGTTCCATGGTAGTTGTACAAATAACTTCCCTTTGAAAAATGCAGTATTTCTTATTCAAACACTCATTAGTGAACTAAAGGTGTTCAGTTAGTTCAATATTTACTATTGTTTTATCTTGCTTCCTAGGTACTGTTACAACTGCAATAAGTCATTGTACACCTGTTGTATCAGGAATCAGGATTTCTTTTTTTTTTTTTTAAGGTATTTTACACAACTTCATCTAGACTATAAACTTCTAATGGCAAACATTTAAATAATCTTACAGTCAAACCTTGCACCACAAATGCGCTATTCAGTCATTGTTCTTTCTGTCTGCTGTCCTCTATTTCTATGACAGTTTGTTGCCCAGTCCAACATTACCATACCATTTGGGGGTTCAACACAGTCCTTTCTTCTGTAGACGTCTGCTTCTGTATTTTCAGAACAAACCTCTCATCCCAGTGTACTGTTACAGGATCAAACCTATTTGAATTAAAATTACCACAAAGGTGGTTTTGGGATCAGCTAACACTTATCTCCAAACCTTCCTTGTTGACATTCTCCAGCATCCAGAGTATTAGCTACGCTGGAAAGACATTCGGTAAAAAAAGATGGCTAAATTCCTTTTGTAATTATCTGTAAACTTGCATCCTAAAACTTGTTTAAGAATTTATATTGTGTGAAGATATTTAATTACCTAAGAACACTGATAGAATAATGGATTGGGTCCCAAAGCTATAAAAATATAATTGGTTTCAATTGGAATTTGCCTACATGGGCAGACCTAAAAGCTATTACGAAGGCTTTACTAGTTAAGGCTTTTTGGCTTCATTTTTAAAAGATATTGATGTTACCTGAAACCTTTCTGATCAAACGGTGTCATTTTTCTTCATGAGAGTGCATTAGATGTATCATGATGCTTCCTATATACATGACATACCGTACATCATATACATCAAATATACATGGAATATGTGCATATCAATACATACATATATACATCAAAAACACTGGATCAGAAATAAATGCATGTCTGCAAAATAAAATATGCATATAAATCAAAAGGCTCAGTGCATTAGATGCCATTACAATAAGTGATTAACACAGTTATTTAATAGTTTGAGTAGTGTATGTTTCAGTATAGTATTTGCTAGCATTCTTCTGACCTGAAACTTTACATTAAGAGAAAACACCCACCAAAACCTGAAACTTGCTGATGATACACTTTTTACTGCACACAAATACTGATCTTTCTCTCCATCTGTCAACAGAGATGGAAGAGTAGGTGATGGACTATCATGCTACAGTATATACACCAAAATACAACAATGTCACAGGTTAGGGTTAAACTGCAGTTAAAAGGAGTATATAATGTCATGCATTACTCTTTATCTTATTGTTTACTTATTCCGAAGCTTGGTTAATTTGCAATTAACTTCCCTTTTTTTTCTGCAAATTAGTATAACTTATTGTAAACTGAGCTTCTACATTTCTTTCAAACCTTAACAGAGAGCAGAAGCACAGGCTGCCCTCTGAGACAGAGGAGTGTTCCTTCTGAGGAGCTCTGCCCAAGTCGATTTCCTGATGTTGCTCTCCTCTCTTTCACTCTGTTGGAAAATTGCAGTAGATCTGCTGAAGCTGGTGGGTAACATTAAGTTTTAATGGGGTTTAAAGGAGAGGCAGAATGGACCCAGAGTTTTTATTTACATCCTACTTCTACCCATGGTTACTCATACGAAAAATGGCTTGGTCCCCACCTTTTGCCAAAGTTATTTATAGAAAACCTGCCCTCATATTAGAAATCTGAAACAACTTCTTTATGCCACATGGTATTTCTTTACTAGTTATATCAGGTAAATAATGCAAAAAGGCAGTTACTAAACCTACTTTGGGATGGACAACATACAACCCAGGAAAGCTACTGATTCCATGAGGTCATGTGTCTTTTAAAATCTCTTTATTCGACTTTTCATATGGACTAAAAAGAACGCACTACAGCAATACACTTGCATAAGTTACACCCCTGAAGCAACTTGTACTTTCATTTAAAAAATTCATTTAGTATGATTTTGCAGAATTCCAGTCCTGTCTCCTATTCCATATGTCACATGCAAAATCATTAATTTATTCTGAATTTGGGAAATACACATTCTTTTAGTGTTTTAGGTGATTTAAATGCTGTTTTGGTAGTGAATGACTGTTGATGACTGTGTAAAATGCATCTGTACTGTACATGAAATGTAATTATTTCTGTGTATCATACAAAGAAACCAAGGTTGTTGTTTTGACAATTTTGTTTGACAGTCATATGTCGTATTTCAGAAGGCAGCATAATACACGCGTTATGCTGAATAAATAGACATTTGAGGAATATTTAAATAAAACATCTGCATGCTTGAATGGGTCAACCTGGTTTTGCAATAACTTATTCATGGAGTATTTTTTTTCTTAATAAGATTGAATGAACACTAAATCTGAGGGCGATGAATGTCCCCAACATTAATTCCAGGCAAGCTGTGAGTGCATCTAAATCACACCAGAGCCACCAAGAAGACCAGGATGCCACAGTTCCGTAACGCAGAGCTGCCCTCCTGTGTGCGTGGCACCCACCCTTCCCTTCCCTTCCGAGCCTGCAGCAGCAGAGAAAATCGGGGCATTAAATTATTTCTAGCAATATAAACTCCACCTCTCTGTCTCTACTTTTCAAAAGTACATCCAGACACCGACTGCTCTGTAGGCTACAGAGCCTCCTCAAACCTGGTATCAAATTCCCTTGATAATATGTTAGTGCAGAGAGGAGATCAAACTTCTTCTGTAGCAGAACAGTGGGCAGCAACACACTGTGGATCACTGACAAAGGGCGACTCGCAGTACAGATGTTGCTGATCCATCAGCTGTGTATACCATAGCACTGGCACGCGTGACGGCCGTCTCTGCCAGGAGCTCACTGCTCTGTGAGGGGAAAGAGGTAAAAGCAATACCTGCCTGTGAACCACCCCAGAGCTTTTTTAATGAGAATGACTGTCCTCCCATAAAATGGCTGCCAGAAACAAACAGAAAGAGTTTTGGATATACTTATATATAAAATA